CGTCTCATGTACTAATGAACAAGTAGACTGATAAACAAGTAGGTGTCTCATATACTAATGACCAAGTAGGTGTCTCATATACTAATGACCAAGTAGGTGTCTCATATACTAATGACCAAGTAGGTGTCTCATATACTAATGACCAAGTAGGTGTCTCATATACTAATGACCAAGTAGGTGTCTCATATACTAATGACCAAGTAGGTGTCTCATGTACTAATCAACAAGTAGGTGTCCCATGTACTAATTAACAAGTAGGTGTCCCATATACTAATGACCAAGTAGGTGTCTCATATACTAATGACCAAGTAGGTGTCTCATATACTAATGAAAAAGTAGGTGTATCATGTACTAATGAACAAGTAGTTGTCTCATGTACTGATAAACAAGAAGGTGTCTCATGTACTGATGAACAAGTAGGGGTCTCATGTACTAATGAACAAGAAGGTGTCTCATGTACTAATGAACAAGTAGGGGTCTCATATACTAATGAACAAGTAGGTGTATCACGTACTAATGAACAAGTAGGTGTCTTAGGAACTAATGAACAAGTAGGTGTCTCATGTCCTAATGAACAAGTAGGTGTCTCACGTACTACTGACCAAGTAGGTGTCTCATATACTAATGAACAAGTAGGTGTATCATGTACTAATGAACAAGTAGGTGTCTCATGTACTGATAAACAAGTAGGTGTCTCATGTACTGATGAACAAGTAGGTGTCTCATGTACTAATGAACAAGTAGGTGTCCCATGTACTAATGAACAAGTAGGTGTCCCATATACTAATGAACAAGTAGGTGTCTCATGTACTAATGAACAATTAGGTGTCTCATATACTAATGGAGTCTATGTCCCTGAGGTTATAGTCTATAATGTGTATCCAGTAATAATGAAGTTGTGAACAAATATTTATTGAGGACAAATAAATTAATATCAATATATATATTCCAAGAAGACTTTTCTAAATATTTTCCATGACAGAGATCATTCATATACTAATGAACAAGTAGGTGCCTCATGTACTAATGAACAAGTAGTTGTCTCATGTACTAATGACCAAGTAGGTGTCTCATGTACTATTGAACAAGTAGGTGTCTCATATACTAATGAACAAGTAGGTGTCCCATGTACCAATGAACAAGTAGGTGTCCCATATACTAATGAACATGTAGGGGTCTCATGTACTAATTAACAAGCAGGTGTCTCATATACTAATGGAGTCTATGTCCCTGAGGTTATAGTCTATAATGTGTATCCAGTATAATGAAGGTGTGAACAAATATTTATTGAGGACAAATAAATTAATATCAATATATATATTCCAAGAAGACTTTTCTAAATATTTTCCATGACAGAGATCATTCATATACTAATGAACAAGTAGATATACTAATGAACAAGTAGGTGCCTCATGTACTAATGAACAAGTAGTTGTCTCATGTACTCATGAACAAGTAGGCATCTCATGTACTAATGAAAAAGTAGGTGGCTCATGTACTGATGAACAAGTAGGAGTCTCATATACTAATGGAGTCTATGTCCCTGAGGTTATAGTCTATAATGTGTATCCAGTAATAATGAAGTTGTGAACAAATATTTATTAAGGACAAATAAATTAATATCAATATATATATTCCAAGAAGACTTTTCTAAATATTTTCCATGACAGAGATCATTCATATACTAATGAACAAGTAGATATACTAATGAACAAGTAGGTCTCTCATGTACTCATGAACAAGTAGTTGTCTCATGTACTAATGAATAAGTAGGTGTCTCATGTACTGCTGAACAAGTAGGTGTCTCATGAACTAATGAACAAGTAGGCATCTCATATACTGATGAACAAGTAGGTGTCTCATATCCTAACGTACAAGTAGGTGTCTCATATACCAATGGAGTCTATGTCCCTGAGGTTATAGTCTATAATGTGTATCCAGTAATAATGAAGTTGTGAACAAATATTTATTGAGGACAAATAAATTAATATTAATATATATATTCCAAGAAGACTTTTCTAAATATTTTCCATGACAGAGATCATTCATATACTAATGAACAAGTAGATATACTAATGAACAAGTAGGTGCCTCATGTACTAATGAACAAGTAGTTGTCTCATGTACTCATGAACAAGTAGGTGTCTCATGTACTCATAAACAAGTAGGTGTCTCATGTACTAATGAACAAGTAGGCATCTCATGTACTGATGAACAAGTAGGTGTCTCATGTACTAATGGAGTCTATGTCCCTGAGGTTATAGTCTATAATGTGTATCCAGTAATAATGAAGTTGTGAACAAATATTTATTGAGGACAAATAAATTAATATCAATATATATATTCCAAGAAGACTTTTCTAAATATTTTCCATGACAGAGATCATTGAGATTTTCATTAGAGGGAAAATCGGTGAGGTACAGGGTGGGAGGGGTCAGTTTTTACTTGGGAGGTCAGGGGAAAGTCACGGAGGGATGAAGCCTGCGTACCACAATAGTGGCACGGATCACTCTAACAGCCGAGTAATGAGAATAAAATGGTGGTTCAGTACAGTTGAACTCCCCTGACCTACTAATGCATGCGTATTGTATACAGATCGTGGGCCTAGAGAACCGGTCAGTTCACAGGGGCCAAATCTATTCTTTCTCCCCAACAGGGAAGCATCCTAATTCTAGTGATTTTGAAAAAATATATATGAAAAATTATTTCTATCTTCACCATTCTAATTTTAATGTTATCAATTTGATACTAGTTTAGTGAGAATTTGCTAATAAGATTTTTCGTGGGGTCATTGTGAATCTGACCAATCATCATCCACAAATTGACTGAGTGACCGCTCTTCAATACTGGGATTTATATACCAATGGGCCCTAAAGAAGGTTAAGCTACTAAAAAGGAAATCGTCAGCACAGAAGAGCATGTCGACGAGGATAAGGAGCCAGCTTGTTTGAGTGTCACCAATTATATGTCAAAGATTGGAAATTCATATCTTATTCATGAGTTTACAACTAATTCTCAAGCAGGCTGCCATTTTTCTTGCTCTCCTCCAGTGATAATTGATTTCCATTATGTGTCCTCTCGTTAATGCTATCTTACTTTTTACCCAGTAATGTGACAGATCGGTTTCTATGGTGATTGCACGGGAATGTAGAACTTTATAACAATTAGGCATGAGAGACCTAATTGAGTGATTTATCTAGAAATTTACACAAACTATGACATCTTCAAGTCAACCATCGAGTCAACAGAAATCTCATCTCCCTTTTGTCTCCAGCTAAATCAATAATGACATTAGAAACATAAAAATGGCAAACAATCTGGTATCGCCAGATTTACCAGTAGCTTAGAAAAACACAATTATTGGACAATACATGTTGTATATTCTGACATGAGCAATTATCTCAGAGTAAGATTATATAGATACTTCCTGAATAAGTGACAGCTTTTATTCCAAATTTTCAAAAATAAGCTTCATGGCATGATTTTGTAGGCATTGTTTTCGTGTCCCTTCGTTGTTACCTCCCCTTGTACACTCGTTGATGAATAAACCTTTCCCTTCCCCCTTCTTCTCTCTCTACACACTTCAACCAATACACCCTTCTTGATTCTTTGACATCTATCACCAATACACCCCAAGGTACCACCCCACAAATTCCATCTTACACATGCCCCTCCTCCTGAGCCAGTCGTCATCAGAGGTTGCCAGCCCCAGGGGTGCCACTTTACATATGTCCCTCCTCTAGAAATGGTGGTCTCAGTAGTTACCTCCCCTTCACCTTCCACACACACCATTTCTTGGGCCAGTGGTCATCAGGGGTTACCAGCCCCAGGGGTACCACTTTACATATGTCCCTCCTCTAGAAATGGTGGTCTCAGTAGTTACCTCCCCTTCACCTTCCACACACACCATTTCTTGGGCCAGTGGTCATCAGGGGTTACCAGCCCCAGGGGTACCACTTTACATATGTCCCTCCTCTAGAAATGGTGGTCTCAGTAGTTACCTCCCCTTCACCTTCCACACACACC